AAGTGTCTCATGGTCAGAATACACTTTGAAGTGCCTCCCAAGCAGATAGTGCTTCCAATGGTCTAAGACCTGCCTGAGAGCGTAGAGTTCTCTTTCATACGTGGAGGTAGCAACCTTCTCACAGGGCATCCTCGCTGACATGAACTCTACGGGTCTATAACCATTGTCGTCGTCTTGCTGCAACACGGCGCCTATCCCATACTGACTTGCGTCCGTGGTAACGACAAATGGTAAGGACGGATCTGCTACTTTGAGGACAGGATATTCTATTAACGCGAGCTTTAACTTCTTGAGCGCAGACGTACAATCTTTATCCCATTGCCAGATTGCCTCTTTCTTTAGCAGTCTGCGCAAGGGGGCAGCGATAGTGGAGAAGTTCCTCACGAACTTCCTATAGTAGTTAGCTAAGCCTAGGAACGACCGCAACTCTGTTAATGTGCGGGGTGTCGGCCAGTCTCTAATCGCCGTGATCTTGCTGTCCTCTGGCTTAATGCCATCTCCGTCCAACACGTGGCCCAAGTACAAGACTTGCGTCTTGGCCCACTCGCACTTCTTCGCGTTGATCTTGAAGTTAGCTTCTCTAAGCTTCTCCAAGACCTGCCTCAGATGACCCTGGTGCTCAGATGACCCTGGTGCTCCTGGAGGGTCTTACTAAAGACTAGGATATCATCTAAGTAGACTACTACAAATTTATCTAACCATGGTCTAAACAGGGCATTCATACAACGCTGAAAAGTAGTTGGCGCGTTGGTTAGTCCAAAGGGCATCACTATAAACTCATAATGCCCATATCTAGTCCGGAATGCAGTCTTGTACTGATCATTAGGATGAACCTCTATTTGATGGTATCCGGACTTTAAGTCTATCTTAGAGAAATACTTACAACCCTGCACCCGATCTAAAAGATCGTCTATCCTGGGCAGCGGCTCAGCATTCTTCATTGTGATCGCATTCAAACCCCTATAGTCTATGCACATACGAAGCTCTCCTTCCTTCTTGGGGACAAACAAGACTGGTGCTCCAAAGGGAGACGAACTGGGCCTGATCCAACCCTTCTCAAGGAGTTCGTCTAACTGCTTGCAAAGCTCCTCTAACTCTCTAGGGGACATCTTGTAGACTGCACCCTTAGGAGTTCTACTGCCAGGCTCTATCTCTATCCTGTGCTGGATAGGTCGCGACACTGCTCCTGTCGGCGACTCAGTCACGTCTTTGAATTCTTCCAGCAGCTTGGCAATTGTTGGATCTGTGGAACTATCCTTTTCCTGGGCCTCAGTGACAGGTCTAACATAAACTACAAAGACCGGTCTTCTAATTGCTCCTTCTTTACTAATCGCGCGAACGCGGGAGCACTGAGACAGCAATGTGCCAAGGTGTTATCTACACCAGACATATGGAACAAGCGGGCAGTCTTAACCTCGCCTGACGGACTAGGGAGCCTACACTCATGCTCTCTCAAATGAAGTGTGGCCCCTGATGCCTCTCCCCAATCCATTCCTAACACTATATCGAAAGGAAGATCATCCTGCACGAGGAGAGTCAAAGAATGGAGGACCTTCTCCACTTTTCCATTCTTCTCTAGGCGAAAGTACGCCTGGACTCCCTCTACGTAGTCCTCAACGCACATCGTGCGGTTGTCTGCGAGGACACTGACTATGGGGTCTACTAGTTTCTGGACCTTTAGTCCCAGCCTCAGCTTCTTCAGCGCCCTACGACTAATGTAACTATGGGTAGCCCCTGAGTCTATAAGGGCCCCTACTCTACTCCTAAACACCTCTACATCTACTAAGATCAGTTGTCCTTTACTCTCCTTTTTCACTTTGGCCCAGGCTGGCATCCTCTCCTTTAACTCTTCTACCACACCTGTGAGGGACGTGCCTAAAGAGACGCTAACACAAACAGTCTCTGGACAGCTATCTAGGCACGGGCTCATGTGGGCCATAGGCTCATGTGGGTTGGGAGTGTCCTGTTCGCGCGCGCTCACTTCTCCACATGGCCTGGAACTAGGGGCAGTTGCGACCCCTACTGGCGGCTGCCTTTTGCCTGCTGAGCAGCCCAACGAGCCTGTCTATACTTTGGACAAAATTTAATTACGTGCGCCAGGTCACCACAGAATACGCACTGACCCATGTTCACGCGTTCCTGTCATAATCGTTGGTCCAAGCCCAAGTTTTCCCAGGGCCTGCCCTGTGGCAAGCCTGGGTGCCATCTTCCTTGAGGTGGCCTTCCACCTCCTCGCTGTGGGGACCGATTACCCTGGCGATTTAATGGGGGACCTTGACCCCTACCTCCCGCTTGGCGGTTTCCCTGTCCGCCAACCCCCTGTGCGCCGGGTCCTCGGCCTCCCATGGCCTGGCCCCTTTGGCCCTGGCCTCCTCCTCTACCTTGCGGCCTCCCTCCGGCCGCGACAGCAGCGTAAGACCTCCCCTGCCCTACACTACTGTACTCCTCCCCTAGGCCCCACTCRATCTGRTCATATGGGACCTCTTTTGTACCACCCTCCTCTAATGTCAGGATCAAGTGATCCTTGGCCTTGACTTGGCCCGAGATGGTACGATCCTTCCACTTCTTCCCCTTCTCCAGGTCCTTATGCCAAAAAGTGGCAACTGGCATAGATTTCGACTCGTACAGGACGACTTCTCTACTCAATGCATCGTAAGTGATGCCGGCCTACTGAGATTTGTCAAAGAAATGCCCGCGTAGGGCCTCTGGAATGGCACGATAAAACAACTGGACCAAATGGGGCTCAGTGACCCCATGGTCCGGGACGGCTACCAAGTCGTCCATGGTACCCTTGAGTGCCTTGGCACTCCTCCATTGTCGTGAGTGGATCGTTTGGGGCTTGTCAGAGGCTCTTATGCCTCGCATTGGGTCAGCGAAACGCTCCTTGAGGAGCTTGAGGAATTGGGAAAGAGGGGTGACTTTGGAATATGCAACCAGGTTGTTTTCACAACCGGTTGTACGCACAAGAGACCTAGCGAAACTAGCCGCGTCATCTTTGAGGGCCTGAAAGGCCACGAGGACTTGTTCCTCCATTAGGATATGCAGCCGGTAAATATAACTATTGACACTGGCTTCCCAGTTGTCAAAGTTTTCTTCCTTCTTTCCCCCGTAGGCATCTAGGAACTTAAGTTTCACTGGGTCCTTACGGGGTCTGGCCTCTCCCTCAGCGGCTACAGCTTTGGCACCCTGAATGGCGCCCTCACAAAACTTCCCTACATTGTCTCTCAACTGTTTGACTTCGCCCCCAATATGGGTGACGATCTCGCGCGCAAAGTCTCTAAACCCTGACCGCATGGCATTCAAGGCTACATCTTGGCGCCAGCTGGCCTGGCGCTCTTCCATCCAGGCCTTGCTCAACACCTCCAGGTACCCCTGTACTTTGTCCCACTTTGCCTTATCATCCGGCTGGGCCATCACCTCTTGCCTGCATGCTTGCACCTTCGCCACCTCTGCAGTCATTCTACTCACTTGCTCTCTCCTCCTCTTCTTCTCTCGCTTCATCCTCAACTTCCATGCCAATTTCTGCTCCTCCTCCCTTTCTCGCCTTTCCATAGGATCTGTCATTGTTGCGAGCTCACTGGCTAGCGCCGCCCTCTCATCCTCAGTCACGTAGGACTCCGCCTCTTCCTCTTCACCCAACGATAAATTAGCGACCCACTCACTGATCTTTTTCTCCATCTCAATATCTGACTCCCTCTTCATCGTGCCACTACTGCTTCCTTCTCCACTCTCAATCCTCATTCTCTCCTTTTCTTCTTCTGCTGCCGCTTCTTCTTCAGCAGCCTTCTCCTTCTTCTTCATCTCCTCCTCCACTTCCTTCATCTTTGTCGCCCGCTCGTCTACGATAGCCTTGAGCTTCGCCTGCTTCTCACGCTCTTTCCTTTCCCTATTCTCTTTCACTATGGCGGTCATCTTCGCTTGCTGCTCAGGGGTGTAGGGACTAGTCTCCTTCCCAGTGCGGGTCTCAACCATGGTGATAGGTGTACAACCAGGTTAGAGGTTCCAAACCTCACCACGTAGACGTCAACCCCTGACTGACAGACCTACTGACTCAATCTGAAACTCACAGAATCCTGACAGGGATCCTGCCAACTAGGATCTCTAGCATAGACCTATGCTATGGCTGTCTTTACTGAACCAGTGGCTGATCAGGAGGCATTTAAGGAGATCCCCCGTAACTCCTCAAGAATTCTTTAACGTCGCAGACAAGACGACATGATCAGCTTGGTTCTGCCTGTGCTTTCAGCCCACAACTCAGCCTTTCCGACCTACTGTGCCACACCGAGCAGCCCGGCGGTCTATACTGGTCCTTGGGAGGGTTTGACCTCCGGGACAGTCGAGTCGTCAGACACAAATCATCAACCTTACTTGGTCTGGCAGGGGAGTGGTTCAAACAGGCCCTCAACACTTAAAGACTGCTTGGTGTTTGTCATTCATGCCCACAGAGTCCTACCAACCGTTTCCAGCCGGTCAGCACCGGTCCTTGGGAGGGTTATGCCCCCCTGGAAAGTTGGATCAGCCACAGTCTTAGCCCTACAAGGTCAGACTAGGGTTTCGTCATCCAAGCCCTATCCTTAATCCACAGAGTACTATGACCTAGGACAGAAGAGACTCAATGCAGAAAGAATAGACAGACAGACTGTACTCAGCAAGTACCAAGGGGTATGTGCACATCCATAGCCCAAGGGGTAGGCGTAAGGGTTTGGCGAGATGTTACCAACTCCAGCTTGGTCAAAGTCTTGGTCAACGGTCTTGGTCAACG